GGAGAAACCATGTTTTTTTTGTTTTTTGTTTTTTTAGCCACTAGGCTCATTGTAATGTAGCACAGAATGGCCATGTGACTACTGCTTTATACATAGCACTGCCTACAGTAAATGTGTCTTCACATAAATATGTCGGATCTGTGGCAGTTTAAAAGAACATTGCATGTCAAAGAAGCTGCCAAATAGACTTAGTTATACCGATTGTACATCGCTGTCTTAATTGTCAGTGATGCTAGCAGCTGGGGCATTGTGGTACCTCTCACGCACATCAGAGTGCTCGCTGTGCCTTTGATCTTATTACAAGTGGGTTGGTGTTGTAAACCAACATTCTCGTAAAATGAGTCGTACGAATACCAACGTGCCATTTGCTGCACATACGCATGACCGTGCTCACGTGCTGTTTTACAACTACGTTTAAATAGCCAACATCTTCATCGATCAGCAACATATGGCGGGCAGTCTGGCTCCGAGCTTGCAGAGCTTTTTGATTCGTTCCCATTCGCATCTGACGAGCTTCAATAGTGCTCAGCATGACCATCTTATCATTACTAATCATGCAAAATAATAGAGTTAGTGTGCATTGTGTGCACACTAACTTGTGTGCACACACAGTTAGTGTGCAAATAATAGAGAGAGCGCGCACTGCGTGGCACTAATTAGTTTTCTGGCCCCGCCATGGTGGTCTAGTGGCTAAGGTACTCGGCTGCTGACCCGCAGGTCGCGGGATCGAATGCCGGCTGTGGCGGCTGCATTTCCGATGGAGGCGGAAATTTTGTAGACCCGTGTGCTCAGATTTGGGTGCACGTTAAAGAATCACAGGTAGTCGAAATTTAAATAACTCAAGAACAGTGCTATATACATGGTCGCTAAAACAGAGATGGCAAAACATCATTCCTTGAATTTTATAGGAATTGAGTGTGCCTTGTTCGCCAGCTAGCGCGAGGGCTGGCCCCGCGTGGAGCAAGCAGCGGGAACCGCCAATAATCGGCAACATGGCTTTGCCGCCAGGTCTTGTTGTCTGGTGCAAGCCACGCATTGGTCCTCTCTCTCTCTCTCTCTCTCTCTCTCTCTCTCTGTGCAGAGACACATGTCCGAACAACACTTTGTGGTGTCGCGGCCTGGGGTCACTAAGAGTGGACAAGCTTCTATAACACAGCAAAATGAATTGCGCTTTATTTTAAAACACCCGCGCGTGCGCGCGCGCGTGCGTGTGTGCTTGCATGTGTGTGTGTGTGTGTGTGTGTGTGTGTGTGTGTTTGTGTGTGTAAGACAAAAACAGCACTTCCAGTGTTGCTAGACTGAAACACATTGAGACTGAAACTAGCGACACAACACACTGGCACACGAATGCTAGCACTGGATAACGCTTGCAAGAAAGCAGCGGAGTACTATTTCAGAGGCCTTGACATTGCAGTGAGGTTCACACATGCACACATCCGCTGTCACTGTACATGCTCAGCAACGAAGAAAAAATAGCGCCAATGCTCAACATTGTTATGCGAGGACGACGAAGCCAAGCTGTAGCTGTAGCAATTATGTAACCAAAACTCCAACTTCGTTCCTTGAAAAAGTTTTTAGGGGCGAAGCTCCTCTTTGTATAACCTTGTCATGCATCACGCGTAACCAAAAGAAAAAGAGACGAGAAAGAATGCAGTATCTCTCGGACACTATAATAGACAGACGGCACTGTATCATAGAAGTACATATACAAACTGCAGTTGGGAAGGGATATTTTAGATGGCACTGTACCGCTACTCTCCAATATGCTGCCACGCGTGCTGTACCTGGGCACGCGGAGAACGAGTTTCCTCTGTCTCCTGGATCGTCGTGGTATGTGGTGGATCGTTGGTGGGACATGGACAGAGCAGAGCGGCGGGCACGTTGAAGACGTTCGCGCTCGGCTTCTTTGGCTCGCGTCTCGTCGGTGTTCCCCGCACGCCGTCTGCATTCTCGAATGCGATCGGACGCATGCACGGACAGTTGCACAGACGGACGCTTTGCCCCACTTGTCATCATTCACTCCGTGGATATGCTGTGATTCTTTTTGTTGTATTTCACAATAGTATAATATGGAAATCTGGAACTCTAATATTAGAAAAAATATGCCATGTTATATGCGGGTTTTTACGGTACTTCTTCATGAGCATTCCTTCGTTAAATTTATTATTGCATTTCCTGCAGTAAGTGGCTAATAGTGTGCCTAACATTGATCTCTCAAAGACTGCATTTCAACCTGCTGTAACGTTACATACATGCAGTGAATATTTATTGAATTTTCACTTCTGCACAACTTCTTGGCACCCTGTGCAATATCACCAGTATTTTGTGTTTTTATGATTGATGCAATCCGTTTCACCACAATATAGTGTAGCAAGTTAAATTTTAGTATTTCATACATCACATGTTGTAACTACTACAGAGGAGGGAACGACCCACATCCTAAGGAGCATCGCCCCTGAAAGGCTCGCTGTGCTAGCGGTACTTGGCCAGGTTGTGGCCCCTAAAATCGCTCTGGCACTGATGCGGTCTTAGAAGCTTCGCCCATTCGCACCAGCATTCAGTAACAATCGCTGCAAGGGATGTAGTTTGTGTGAAGATGTGGAGATTTTGGGTTTGAAGACTAATAATTTACCCTGTTATATCAGTTTACATGGCAATCTTACTGGATTAAATTTAGGTTTCAAGTGCATGTAATCCTATGGGGTGATATCCTTAAACCCTTGAGGAGAGAACTACTCGCATTCTTGTATTCTACATCTCTCTTATCTTTCACAACTCTCTGACCACCATAAAGCCTTCGTAAAGCATTGCAGTTGTGGAGCTGGTGTGCTGCTGTGCAGCGTGACATTGTAAAACAGGCCTAATTATGTTAAATTTGCATTGTGGTGTCATAAAAGGACTTGTAAAACTTGGAGGTTGTCCTAAACTTACTGGCATAAATTGGTCAAGTGAACTTCGTTATAAGGAGGTTTATTTATAAAATTTACCATAACAACTGTAAGGTCTTACTTCCCGAAAGCATATGGTGATGATAGATGTCATAGTGGAGGGCTCTGGAAATATTTACCACCTGAGAATATTTAGCGCGTGCCTGAATGAAAGCACACAAGGCTCTAGCATTTTGTTGCCGTAGAAATGGGGCCGTGTCAAGCTGGATTCGATTGTGTGACCTCTAGGCCAGTAGTCAAGCTAAAGTGAGGTTTGCCCACATTAGTGTGCAGTGCTATCGAGCAGGAGTCAGCAACTTTTTGTAGTTGAGGATTGTTGTATCAAGCCAGCATGGCAAGGTGGGTCTTTGCTGGCAAAGCGTAAAAAGTTTGACCATAGTTTGCAAAACTGGAGTAGAAATCATGATAATTTCCAGCACGTATGTCACAAAGTTGCTATGAAACAGGTTGCTTGCAAAAATCCTAATTTAGGTTGGAAAAGTAGAGCCTTACGAATAGCAAAATTTTGGGTGGGAAGCAAATTTTAATGCTGAAGTGTGAGTGTGAATTGAATCCAACATTTCTTGAATATTCTTCAAATATGTCAAAGTAAATTGCAGAAGAAAAAAAGTTGGAAAAGATTCCTAAGCAGATTCTCATGAGATAGGCGACATGAAAGTGTTTCATGCTGGGTTTATGAAGCGCTGGCAGGGTGGTGTGTCATAGTTGCCTTGTCAAGAATGAAGCAATGCAGAAACCAAACTGCATTTATATGCGTGATTTCGTGCAAGTAAGGTGTTGCCAACACTTTATACAGGAAAGGCAAAAACTGTATTTCCTCAGCCGCTCCTTCTCTTTCAACCTCTGTGGAAGCCCAACTGATGTGGCCAACAAGGGTGCATGCACTCCCTTCGAGTAGGGAGTTTCAAAGCTGCCTCTTAGATGTCAGTATATAAAAATATCTGAAATTTCGGATGCTAGAACTCTTTGGCATTCGGTTTTTCGTCTTCCTGCCGAAATTTCAAGTATGGCCCTATTGAACTCTCACATGTGCCCCATTTATGATCTCCATGTTGGAACCAGCATTTTCTAGAGTCGATTCGATTGTAGTGTAGCCTAAAAGGCAGCTTTGCCGCAGTATGAGAGTGTGACGAGGTGAAGCATACTGAAAATATTAAAGGGGCGCTGTTACATTTTTTGAGCATGGTCAGAAAACTGCTGCCGATCGGTAGTAGAGGCTCTTGACAGCACGCGAGCCAAATATTATAGTGCAGGAAGCGGCCTGGAATTCCCAATAAATTATTGAAAGTCAGCTAAAAATTGCTTTCTGTTCTATTGACAAATCACGCAATATGCCCAAAAATCACACGTTGCAAGCCCATCTATCAGTCATTGGCTGATTTGAACATGGCACACTCACTCGCTACAGAGATCGCCGTGGGACGCCGCTACTTGCCCACGCATGCGATCATACTGAAATAAAGACGCGCATTCGAAGAAAAAAAAGAAGGGCTCAAGGTGAAGAGGCGCACGTTTTTGTTTGCCCCTCCCATCCTTCTCTGCTTAGCTTCTAGCGCTTTCGTCGGGACGAGAGAAGATAAAATGCATTTGCAGCATGTGGCAAACTTTTGTAACTCCACTCGCATTGAACAGATTATTAAATTTTTGAGGTGTTGAATTCGTGAGGCAATAAGCTCTTAGTGAATTCATTCCATGGTTACTTGAAAAGTGTTTCAAGGCCCCTTGAAGGGCCTCAAACGTAGACTGTATTTGTCTTTGAGAAGTTCGAATAGCAAAATTTCCAGTGCGAATTGAATCAAATATCAAACCTTGTTAAAAAATATTCAAAATTTTGAATATTCGCGCACCTCTAGTAAACGTTTCAATAGGAAGTGGCTAGGGTGGGCTCACGTTGTGCTGGGACCAGCATAATGATGCCAAGTGGGCTGTATTGGACCCGCAGGCCGCAGATTGCCGACCCCTACTATAGAGTGCCAAACCCACATATTTCGTGTAACCTTTTACTACTGCCTCTCTCGCTGGAATTGCAATGTGACCATGCTCCTTGTGCAGACCGTGTCGAGCCTGGGCACGGTGGTCGTGGACGGGGTGAGCTACCCCCGCTACCCCGTTCCCGACGTCTCTACCTACCGGTACGACGAGAAGTCTGGCTACTACTATGACCCCTCGACGGGCCTGTACTACGATGCCAACTCGCATTACTACTACAACTCGGAGGCCCAGCAGTACATGTACTGGAACAACGAGAAGCAGACCTACTTGCCAGCACCCACGTCGACGGCCACTGCCGCGGGTGCCAATGCCAACGACCAGGCTGCAGGTGATTGTACGTTCTTTTCTTATTAGCTTGTGTGCCCGTGTACATGGTTGAATTTTTCTCACCATTGGAACTAGTGATCACAACAAAAATGCAACAGGCGTCAAGCTTTGGCTGAATTCAACCTCCTTTTGCTCAGTTTGTATTCATTCTAAGAGACACTCACACCGAATTTGGAAACTCAAAGCTTTTGTTGTTTGATAGTTCTGCACATGGGGCCACTTCTGACTGATAATTAGGGATGAGTGCTGCGTATAAAATATTTTAATTTAGTTTTAAAGTAAGGTTGTGTGCTCATCTGAGTATTCAGGCGCAATGAACATAGTTTGACGTAGACGTATGATCGGCGTCGGAGAACATTTGCGGGACACCCACTATACTCTGTTTGGCACCTGGGGAAGACTATTGTTCGTCACCCCCTTGCTCTGTCGTCGGGCTGGTGCCAAGGTGGTTTTGGCTGCTTATACCTGGAGCGCTTTTCTTTTTTCTTGATGGGGACACGCTCAAAGCACCCACATTGTTTCATTCTTCACCACCCTGAAACTTTTCTGAAACTTGGTATGCTAAGTCTCAGGTTCTCTGTAGTCAATGCACTTGATTTTCACCTGTCAGAAACTACATAAGGTCTTAGAGTAGATGCCATCAAGATCCCCAACGTCATGGCAATCCGTGCAAAAAGAAAATCTGGGTGTCATTGCCACTCACATTGCCTTTCTACAGGGAAAGCTGTTACGATGTCATAACAAAAGTGCCTCACCGCCACTGGTGTCCGTAAGCATTATCACTCACAATAATAACAAAAACCACATGAGAAAAAATATCCAGGATGAAGTGTGTTCAAATCTTGGTCTTCTCTGTGACAGCCCAGTGTTCTACCACAGAGCCATGCCGGTGCTCAAAACTCTGCGTACAAAAACCCTATACAAGTGTTGGGTCGGAAAGCAACAGTGTTTTAGATGTGTAATATAGCATGGTGGAAGATAATAACAACAATTAGGCATCACAAAATGCAATTAGTGTAACCAGATGTCACACAGTATGAATGAACTGCATTACGAGTGGGTCATTAAATGCTTCCAACCCATTACATGGGGCTCGGCCACAATTCGTCGTTGTCAGGCACCGAATCGATTGATGGAGAAGCGGTACCTTGCTAGCGTGCTGTAGTAGCCCCCAGAGAGAATGGGTTCTATCTTTTGCTATGACTGTGCTGCACTTTCCGCGCAAGCCTGGCATTTTTTGCGCTTCCTTGCTGACCAAGCATTTTCTTGCAGAGAGCGCAGTGTTTTTGATATTGTGAAAGAGTCGCTTACTATTATGAGAGAGATCATTTTTGTCTTACGTGTCCCTTTAACTTGCTGTGTGCAGTTTATGTTAGGACTGCATATTGTTAGGGACATATTGTCACTTGGGTTGACTCCACTGCCATGTCTGGTTTGACAGTCAACCTTAGACTACTGTGATGAAAGAATAATTTTGTTCGTTCCGTCTTGTGATTGCAGGCTGTTTTGTGCGCTTACTTAGCATGTGCATGTGCTTATGGAGTCTATTCACTTGTAGTCAGTACCGTATTTACTCGATTCTACCGCGCCCTCGATTGTAACGCGCACCCGATTTCCGCCGCGAAAAAAAAAAAAAAAAACGTAAGACATCGATTGCAACGCGCACCCATTTTTCTCGCTGGCCCGCACGATCACACCACTCGAAAAAACGACTCCTTTCGGGAGCGTCTTCCATTTAAATATGAGGTACGGGCGAAGCTTGTGCCCATCTGACGTGTAACAGAGCATTGCCGTCACTGTAGTTTTACCGTGGACCAATGTCAGCACGCGAACTTGCTTCGCCCCCTTCTTCTCGACGGTTGTGGTGCCAGGCATGTCGAAGTAAAGAGGCGTCTGATCGGCATTCCCGATTTGCCCAAGCAGGTAGCCGTTGTTGCGCCGCAAGTTTAGGACGAACCTCTGAAAACTGTGAAGCTTTTCATCGTACTCCTCCGCAAAACTTTTCGCATATGCATGTTCTCCTTCGGAGGGAAAAGCCTTTCCTTTTCATAAAGTTAGTTAGCCAGCACCTGCTCGCTTTAAACTGGCTCCACATTAGACCTTTTTCTAAGACTAATTGCATAGCCCACACTTGGAGCAGTTCTGTCGTCACGGGCCGCTCTGCCGCTCAAGCAACAACTCGCCGAGCAGCTCTTTAATTTGCGGAAACCGACCCTGCTGTGGTCCACTGAAGCCTTTGCGTGAAGCTTTGCTGTCGACAATCTTCTGCGTTTGTTTCCGCCGATCCCACACGCACGTTTCGGGAACTCCGAACGACCGCGATGCGGCCCGATTTCCGTCCGTTTCCGCACACGCGATGGCTTTTCTTTTAAAAGCGGCATCGTGGTGCACTAGTTTTTGGAGTCAGTCCTTCCACGTTGTCGATGCTAATGCACTACTAGATGACGAACTCCTCAGCACACGTACGAAGTGCCGCACATGGGAAACACATAGGCAGAAATGGCTGACGCGCCATGCCGACGCACATAGGGGGCGGCCATTTTGGATTTGCCGATGGCAATAGATTGAACGTATTTTTTTTTTTTTTTCGTGCTCGATTCTAACGCACATGCGATTTATGAACTCGCTTAACCGGAAAAAAGGTGCGCATTAGATTTGAGTAATTACGGTAATTTCAATTTATTTTATTCAATAACGCAGTGTGTCACATTGCATAAAATGTGTTTGAGTACACCGTAAATATCATAATGCAGTGGGATAGCTATAAAGAGGCATCAAAAGGCTTCAACTTCCTTACCACGAAGGGTCCAGTGGTTTGTAGTGAATTGTAAAATTGATACCTTCATCAATTATCCATCTCTGAACTATACCTGGAGCTAATAAGTGTAGCCAAGTCCTGTGAGAAGCTGGGCATGAATTTCTTTTCGTTTGGTGCACTCATTGTTCAGGTTATTATTTGTAAAGATGCAGCTTGGTCCCTACTCAAACATTCCAAAGTGAGATTCACTATGGTAGAAAAGTTGAATAGCAACTCCTATTGTACAATAGCAATATGAGTTCTTCTGCACTACCATCCTATCGTGCTTGGTGCCAAAAAATGTCTACATGCTATGCAAACGTAAATTTAAGAGGTTTTTCATGAATATGCAGCGAGCTTCAATAACAAATACTTGTATATGCCTGCTACAGTTTGTGTTCATAAAATGTCAGTGGCACCTGTACATCGCCATATTTGTCCCTGTGACTTGCAACATTCATGTGGGTAACTAGAAGCCCATGTTTGTCATCAAGTTTAAGTGGATTTTAACGCTACATTATTAAAGAACTTGCTTTGCAGAAATTTCAGTGTTGGTGTCTTTGGTTGTGAGCAAATGCAGCATTGGCCATGAGCAATGATTTGGAGTAGATGCTATAAAGGTAGGAGCCAGAGGGCATTTGAACTTAAACCTTCCTTGCGGCACAGTGTAGATCTGCACCGAGAAGCGAAGGCACGCTAGCAATTGGGAAGGCGATGACGTATGTGCACGCACTCACATAAAATATCCACGCGCATGTGAATACCAATATAGCCGTTGCATTCAACTCTCTAGAGCAATACTTAAGAGGCCCCTAATTTTTTTTTTATGCTCCAACACACGCAAGTGTTCTTTGCAAGTTTAGGGCTGATGTGCAAGGTACATGAAGTAAACTTTAGATCTGAAAAAAAAAAAAAAAAAATTTGCTTAAGTTTGCTTAAGCACTTTGTAAACGGTGCATTTTCTGTCCTTTCCTCAGCTTCATTGTATCTTGGCTCTTGTTGGTGTGATCACACCGAGTTAAAAACAGTGTCACTTTCCTTGTATTTTTGTGCGGTCACATTCCTTCAAATGCTTAGTACGCTGCATCTGAAAAGTTTGTCTCTCTGTTTTCAGCTGCCAATGCAGCGGGGGCTGCTGCAGCCGGTGAAGCGGCCGATGCCAATGACAAGAACAAGGGGAAAGCCAAAGACAAAGAGGACAAGGTCAAGATAGCCAAGAAAATAGCCAAGGCAAGTGGCACGCGCTCCTCAATGGATCTCTGCTCACTCGTGGCACTGCCTATTGCGGCCAACATGTCCTCACTTCATTTAATAATGCTGATTCACAAAATTGGACACTGTTGTCATCATTGTCCTTGGTTATTACAGTCGAACTCTGCTACAACGAACGCCGCTTCAACGAAATTTCTGCTACAACGAAAAATTCACGATTCCTCGCCAGCAGTCCATAGGAGTCAATGCATGAAAATTGTCGCCACAACGAACACTTTTTCTTTGATTGTCTCACTTTAACAAAATTTTACAATGCAATTCCAGGCTCAGATACCGTAATTACTCGAATCTAATGCGCACCTTTTTTCCGGTTAAGCGAGTTTATAAATCGCAAGCGCGTTAGAATCGAGTACAAAAAAAAAAAATGAATACGGTCATTCTGTTGCCATCGGCACTTCCAAAATGGCCGCCCCCTACGTGCGTCGGCATGGCGCGTCGGCCATTTCTGCCTATGTGTTTCCTATGTGCGGCACTTCGTACGTATGCTGAGGAGTTCGTCATCTTGTAGTGCATTAGCATCGATGGCATAGAAGGGCCACGACTCGACGAGTGCACCACAATGCCGCTTTTAAAAGAAAAGTCATAGCGTGGGTCGAAACGGGCAGAAATCGAGCCGCATCGTGATCGTTCGGAGTTCCCGAAACGTGCGTGCGGGACTGGCGGAAACAAAAGCAGAATATTGTCGACAGCAAAGATTCACGCAAAGGCTTCAGTGGACTACAGCAGGGTCGGTTTCCACAAATTGAAGAGCTGCTCGGCGAGTATGTCATTAAGCAGTGAGCGGCACAGCCGCCCATGACGACAGAACTGCTCCAAGTGCAGGCTATGCAGTTAGCCTTAGAAAGAGGGCTAATGCGAAGCCAGTTTAAAGCGAGCAGGTGCTGGCTAACTAACTTTATGAAGAGGAAAGGCTTTTCCCTCCATAGGCGAACGGGCATATGCCGAAAGTTGCCGGAGGAGTACGAAGAAAAGCTTCACAGTCTTCAGAGGTTCGTCCTAAACTTGTACACAACGACGGCTACCTGCTTGGGAAAATCGGGAATGCCGATCAGACACCTCTTTAATTCAACAGGCCTGGCACCACAACCGTCGAGGAGAAGGGGAGCAAAGCAAGTTCGCGTGCTGACATCGGGCCACGGTAAAACTAGAGTGACAGCAATGCTCCGTTGCACGTTAGATGGGCACAAGCTTCCCCCGTACCTCATATTTAATTGGAAGACGCTCCCGAAAGGAGTCGTTTTCCCGAGTGGTGTCATCGTGCGGGCCGAGAAAAATGGGTGCGCGTTGCAATCGATGTCTCAGATTTTTTTCGTCGTGGAAACCGGGCGTGCGTTACAATCGAGGGTGCGGTAGAATCGAGTAAATACGATACTTATTGCTATGCAGTAAACCCAATTTTGAACATTTTGATGCATTCTCAGAGCCTGAAAATGCGTCAACGAAGTCTAAAACAACGCGTTGGCTCCACCAGAAACTGCCACAATACTGCCGCTCTTCAGCAAGCGTGGGTGCCGCCAGTGCTCGATAGCGATGGCAGTGAGACTGCCCTGGCCCTGCTTTTACCACTGGCTTGCTTTTGAGCCGCAGACGATCTGAAGCTGAAGCTCAGTCGCTCAGTTAATGGTTTCTTTCATGCAGCTGCTCAGGGCAACCGTGGAACGATCCTTTTTCCGATTCCGATGCTGATCATTATGTTCGCGCTTGGCCAGTGCGGCAATTAATCTGAGCGGCTGTTCGTCCGCATTATCAACAAAATCAGCTAGCCGCGAGTGACAGATGATAAGAATAGTATAGAATAATGCAAAAGTCGCCTCTCCACTATACCCTGCCTCCGTCTCGGCGTTGTTGAATACTTTTGATGGCGTACAGGTCCTGGTATTAACTTGTTAATGCAACTGTGGGTCGTTTACGAAGGCGGTTTTAGGGATTGTTTCAGCATGCTTTTTACCACGGCCTCGCTATGCGTGGTTGAGAATGACGTTGTGACGCTGCTGGGAAAGAATAGGAAGCAGCGGGCATTTTTTGAATTTTGAGAATAAACATTCCTTTGTTTTGATAGCTCCGATCAGCTATACTTTTTCGATTTCACTACAACGAAATTTTTGCTTCTGCAATATTTTTTCTGTGCCCCATCAGTTTTGTTGTAGCGTGGTTCAACTGTACACCTTTAGGGTGCTCCAATTAAGGCGCTGCATAAGAGAAGACCAGTAACTATAATCTTATACGTTGAAGAACACCAGGTGGCTGAAAACAGGGAGGATATTTTTTTATTATTATTGCCGTGTTCTCACGGCCTAGCATCCCACGTGGCAAACCACCCGTCTTGAACAAGCGTGAAACAACGTGGGGAAACCAACTTTACACGTGAATGCAAACACGCATTTAGATAGGTGCTTTCACGGCTTAGCACCCCTCTACAGCAGTGAAACCACCTTTGCAGGGTTACCTGCAGGCTAATACAGTTAAACCTAAATATAATGGAATTGATGAAATCCTACAAAAATGCATTATAAAATGGATTTCGTTATATGCAGGTTCGGCACAAAAATTTAGAAAATAAACGTATAAATGGAACAAAAGGGGTACTGAAGGCAGAGCTAACCCAAAACACTTACATTACAGTAAAAAAAAACTGGAGTATTATTGTGGTAGCAATTATATGGACACACTCGGCAGGTTTTTGCCATCGCCGCCATGTTCCTTAACAAGTCCAGATTGATAACATGCCCCCGCGCATAGTAACTTTCACAAGTGGGTAAAAGCGCAAAAGCGCTCGCAGAGAACAAATGAGTCTGCCCATCCCTATCGCCCAGAAAGTGCATAAGATAACATCTCCCATGTGTTAACACTGCTGTCGAATGTTCAAAGTAAACCACCCGTCTTGAACAAGTGTGAAACAACGCGGGGAGGGGGGGGATCACTTGAGTAGCAATAATGAACTTGAATTTTAAGGGTGGTCGCGGTTCTGGCGCGCTAGCTATCTCAGCGAGTACCAGGCGACGGGATGGTGTGAAAAAAGCACTTCACCCTGGAGCGGCCGTATTTGCTCACACCAGCGTCACCGTGGTCTCTGAGAGTTTCCATCAGCGCCTTATCTGACAACCCCTAGGTGGTAACCACACGGTTTTCCGAAATTAAATAAAGTCAGAGTTTCGCTGCAAGGGCGAAGCAATGACAACTTGGAATGTAACACTGATAACGGCAAGCAGATCGAAGCATGCAGCCCGCTGCTCAAGCACAAATGACGCGCAAAAGCAACATACACTGGACGAGAGTGAACAACGTTTACCGCTTAACACTTAACGCGCTGTTTAAGAAAAAAAAAAACGAGGCATGAAACGTAATCACAGCTACGCGGCTCCTGTCAATATAAGTGCGAACTACCGTATATACTCGTGTAAGGGCCGCCCTCGTGTAAGGGCCGCACCCCAACTTTGAAAGCGGATATTTCGAAAAAAAAAAACAAAAGTTCAAAATGTCCCGCCAGAAAAGTGTAGTTAGTTCATTTACAGCCAGATGGCGCTGCACGCTTTTCCGCTTTTATTCTACTTCCGCCGACGCGCCGACCACGCTGTTGACAGCGCGCCGCCATATTTGCCTTGTGCGGCCTCTTTGTTGGCATCGTTCCTAGCATCGTGTCGATACGTTGGCAGCGCGACTTCAGATCGGTGTCGTCGGTGTCACTTTGTTGGTTGTAGTGAACCCTGCAGAAGCCAGCGCACGTGACGGACGATGGGCCGGCATCTGAGATCATTCACTGCAGCATTTAAGCTGCAAGTGATTGACTATGCCGAGGAGCACGGGAAGCGGGAAGCTGGACGAAAGTACGACGTCGATGAGAAGCGCGTGCGTTACTGGATGAATCAGAAAGATGCCCTCGCCGCTACTAACAGGAGCCGAAAGGCGTTTCGCGGGAAAAAGTGCAAGTACCCGCAACTCGAAAGCGAGCTCGTCAACTACGTCGTCGACACACGAAGGGACGGCTACGCCGTATCGACTGACATGATACGCGTCAAAGCCCTCAGCATCGCTCGCCACATGGAAATACCCCCGGCACAATTCAAGGCAAGTCGGGGCTGGGCTACGCGGTTTATGAACCGTAACCAGCTTTCTATTCGGCGCCGAACGACGATTTGCCAAAAACTGCCGCGCGAGTACGAAGACCACGTCATTAAGTTTCATCGCTTCGTGAATGCTCTCAGGAGGGAGCATGAATACGACCTGTCCCAAATTGGGAATGCGGACCAGACACCTGTGTGGTTCGATGCACCGGAAAGCACCACAGTGGATTTAAAAGGTGCGAAAAGTGTGTCTGTGCGCACGACTGGTGCAGAACGCCAAAGGTGCACTGTGATGTTGTGCATCACGGCAGACGGCAGGAGGCTTCCGCCGTACGTCGTATTTAAAAGGAAGACTCTCCCAAAAGAGAAGTTCCCTCAGGGAATCGTCGTACGTGCGCAAGAGAAGGGCTGGATGTCCGAGGAACTGGTCGTTGACTGGATTAAGACCGTCTGGGCAAACAGACCTGGAGGGCTGTTACAACGGAAAGCCCTCCTTGTTTTGGACAGCTTTAGGGGCCACTTGACCGACCGCGTCAAGAACCGAGTTGCCGCAACTCGTACGGACTTGGCCGTCATTCCCGGTGGCCTGACGAGTGTGCTGCAGCCGCTCGACGTATGCGTCAACAGACCATTCAAAGTGGAATTTCGCCGATGTTACTCTGAATGGATGGCTGGAGGCGTCCACGAGAAGACCCCTACAGGACGGCTGAAGCGGGCGTCGCTCCAACAGGTGTGTGAATGGATTTTGAATGCGTGGCGTGCCATGTCAGTAGAAGTAGTTGCTAAAAGCTTCAAGGTAACGGGAATTTCGAACTCCATGAACGGCACCGAAGATGACCGTCTCTGGGAAGACGCGGACGCCGAGGCGAGCTCCTCCGAGAACGAGGACAGCGAAAT